TCCATTATACTCTATGGAGCTGCAGATGTAAAAGAATTATGTCTGTTTACACCCTTCTACATCCAATCCATTACGTCCAATCTGCTAAAAACAGACAGATGGGTATCTGTTCCCCATTCGTATAGCAAATTGGATGGCAGTCAGGTGTAAGCGGTCCATTTACATCCCACTGCCCATAGAGGGCATCAGGCTGTATCTGTGTCTGTTCTGCATAAGTGAAGTGGACACAGACCAGCCATCCGCCTGCTCAACAGGAATCAGCGGAAAGATTCCCTGCATCTAAGTCTCTCTTGCCTCTGAAGGCCAATCCACATTCAGTTCACGTTCCAGCAGCTATTCACAGGCGGTGAGGAAACAAAGCTCTGCTTCCTCGCCACCTGTTTTAACCCCATTTATGCCGACAAATGCGCCGTAACCACAGGTATTTGCAGAACTTACCCATTGACTTGAATTTGTAGCGTTTGGTGGGGGCAAAGCAACTTGCCAAGGGCTCAAAGCTACGTATTGCAGCCGCAGCATGTAAACAAACCTGTCTGCTGCCTAGTGCACCTTAAGGGGGGGGGGGGGCGGTTGGCGGTTGGCGGTTGACAGAAACGCAGCTCAACAGAACATTTTTGCTGCCCCCTCCCCAACCGCAAGTCTAAATCAGACCTAGAACCTTATTCATGTGGGGCACACTACAAGGCTGTGTTTAGCTGCACGGTGATGCACAAGTGTTTTGTGCATCCCCATGCAGGCAGTCCCATTCTTTTCATTTGGGACACAGCAGCTGCATGGACACAGCCACTGCTCCCAACTTGACATCCGTGTGGGTGCATGCCTCTGAACTCACACTGTCTGCATTTGGGGCTATGTACCTACACCTGCACGGATGTCAGATCTGTTCTTACAGCCACTGCATTCCAATTGACATAAATGGGACTGCCTGCACAGGGATGTACTGAGCACCTGTGCAGGTAAACACAGCCCTCCAAACAGCCTGCCATGGGCATGAGGCCTTAGTAGGAATTTAGCAGGAATTTCATAAGTTATGTTGTGTTTATGTATGCTAACAAGGATTTTAGTTTTTTTAAGTTAAAACAGCAATTTGATAAACATTTGTGCTGCGCAACTACTGTGGGGCCTACAGAAACAGTAGCATCTTTTTATTCTACTGGTCATGTGCTTTCAGAAAACATGTGGTTTGGGGGGGGGGGTCTTTTTACAAACTCTAAAAGCTGTATTAGAAAATGAAAACCTCCAGATTTATATATAAATATGCATATTTACAGTTTTGCATACATTCAATTTTAAAATTTGCAAATATTTGTTAACTCAATACAGGTTAAAAATGTTATATTGAGTAGGAATCTAGCAGGAATGTTGTAAAATTTGCTTTGTTTGTATCTGCTAGTAATGATTTTAGTGTATTTTTAACTAAAATATTATTTTAATAAACATTTGCGCAAATGTCATGGGGTCCTAAAAATCCGCAGCACCTTCTTTTTATTCTACTGGCCATTTGCTTTCAGAAAATATAAGATTTGAGGGGTCAACTACAAATTCTGAAAGCTGTGATAAAAAAAAAACACCAGATTTTTAGAGAAATGTGGTTATGTAACAGTTTTGCGTATATTTGATTTTCACCATTTCGCAAAAAGGTGCAATTTAAAATTTCAAAATATTTGTTTGTTATTTATTAACTCAATACAGGTTAAGCTTTTATATTTTATAGGAATATAGTAAAATGTGATGTGCTATATCTGCTAATAATGATTTTAATATATTGTTAGCAAAAAAAATAAAATTATTGTTTTGATAAGCATTTGCTCAAATATCATGGAGCCCTAAAAATCAGTAGAATCTTTTTTCTTTATTCTACTGGTTATGTGCTTTCAGAAAATATATGGTTTAGGGGGTCTTTTATAAACTCTGAAAGCTGTAAGGGAAAAATAAAAAAGCAATGGAAAAATTGCAAAAATGGGCCGACCAGCTGAGATTAATAGTGTAGCTCAGGGCCTGGCAGCAAAAGGGTTAAAGGACAAATCCATTTGTTTTTGGTCATCCATGTTCTTAAAGTAAATAGTTACCATTCTGTCACAGTCTTTTCTTGCTTTCATATAAATTTTAGTCGGTCAAGAGTAGGTAGGCAAAGGGATTAATTTACTAAAGCCAAATAGACTGTGCACTCTGCAAGTGCAGTTGTTCCAGAGCTTAGTAAATGAGGTAAAGCGTCACTTTGCAGAGAATAACAAATCACAGGCAAGGAGAATAAAAAAAAAAAAAAAAAAAAAAAAAAAAAAAGAACAAAACATTTTTGCTTGCAAATGATTGGATGATGGAGGTCAGCAGAGCTTATGCTCATTTACTAAACTCTGGAGCAACTGCTCTTGCAGAGTGCAATTGCACTTTACAAAGTGCACAGTCTATTTGCCTTTAGTAAATCAACCCCAAAGTGTTTACGTAAGCAGCTTGCACATCAGGGGACACCTAGGGTTGGTGTCACCCGGTGTGGTAACACGTGGTGTCACCCTGCTCCCAGGCTCTGTGTTGGGAGACAGAAGGATGTCTTGTGCAGCGACCGGCCAGTGATGTGTGATGCAGAGGGGCGGGCTCTGGGCGGGGACATTACCATTCATGGACTGACGGGCGGGGGGGGGCTCCGCTCCAGTGTACAGGGGACAGGCTGGGTGTGAATTGGCCTGCAGCGGCAGCTGTGATCCCGGGGATCAGACACCCCAGACACCCCTTCCCCCCCCCCCCCCCCCGCTGGGACCCCACATCTCACCCCCCACATGCCACAGTTGTTCCTGTAGTTGCAGGAGGGATGAGGAGAGGACTGGTTGACAGCCACTGACACCTGTGCTGGTGTCACCCGGTGCGCCCCGCACCCCCCTAGTGACGCCACTACTGCAAATCATTCATCATGCAATCAATTGTAGGTAGACAAGATGTTTACATAGGCAGGAACATTATTTTATTTTTTAATTCAAACAGCAGGCTGAATAAAGAAAATAAAAATTCCCGATCCACTCATTCGAGGTGGATGGGGGTATCACTCCCACTGAACTATTGTGTTATGAAAGTAGAGAGATCTAAAGACAGTAATACAATCACAATGTAAGGTATATGGTGAGCTTAAACCTGGCCATAGATGGAGCAATTTTCTTTCCTGCAACCATGGATTGAAGGAAAGAAAATTGCTCAGTTCATCCATCATCACAGTCAGTGTTGATGTGGGAATCCCTCCCGCAGAGCCATTGTGTTCTCCCAGTGGGGGGTGGACTGTCAGGAGAACACAGTGATTACTGCTAGTGGCTATAATAGCCAGTAGCAATAATCCATGTAAAATCTGACAGGCTGGTTATACCCAAGTTGATCAACTGATCACTTTGGGTGCATTCAGCCTGCCCATACATGGTTCAAATATCGGCCATTCCCTGCTGAACCGGACGATAATAGAACCATCTATGGCGGGCTTTAAAGAAGGCTTTTCCCCAATATTAGATGTAGATTTTGGGCTGCTCTATGTAAATTGTTAGGTAATCATATTTACATGCCTGATGTTTTACTCTAAGCAGGACTTGTACTACTATACTCCCCTATACTCTGCTCTACCATAGACAGCAGTGCAGTCTTTCAGCGCAGAATATAATAAATGGATAGTGTGCACAAAAGTCTATTTTTGTTTGTGCTCAGTCTAAATACAACCTCCTTCTAGTCAACATTTCCCACATTTTGAATAGGTATTCTTTAGTGCCCAGCTTCGCCATTGTAGTTTCTAAACATTAATTTCTACAGTTTCTCGGGAAGAAATCTGTTTTGTGGTGAAGCTCCATAAATAAATTGATTAAAGCCTGCAAGGCTTTTAATTTATTTCTCGTGTACTGGTTGAAGTCCTATTAAATATGCTCCTCATCTCCCATACATGTCTTTTTCACTTGCAGATGTTCAAATAAAATCTGGAAACTCTGACACCTAATCATCCTTTTTATTTTCATGAAATACTCATTGTATGGGTAGATTAAAAATGGAAAGAATTAATGCATTATCTTTTATAATTACTTCCCTAGTAACATTCTGTTTAGTACAGTGGAAGAATGAAATGCGATCAGTGGATTTTGTGAGCTCTCCTATTAGGTGAGTGTTGCGCATTTAATGTTGTGGTACAGGATTGTTTATAGTAGGTGTGAAATAAATGAAACGTTCCTTGTCGTTCTGTCGCTGATCAAGTAACAATCATGTGCCGTGTTTCAGTTACAGAATGATGCACTAGGTATTCAGTTTAATTCTCTCAGGTTGAGGTTACGGTTGAGGTAATTTAGTACAAACTGCTCTCTAAGGAGACCTCTTAAAGTGCTGGTAAAATCTTGTGTGCCATTTTTACCTACAGGTAAGCTGTTAATAAAGCTTACCTGTAGGTAGTTACATAGTTAGTCTGGCTGAAAAAAGATAAAAGTCTATCCAATTCAATCATTAAAAAAAAGTTATAATCCTGCACCCACAGTTGATCCAGAGGAAGGCAAAAAAACCAGCAAAGTATGATCCGATTTGCTTCTGCAGGGGAAAAAATTCCTTCCTGATTCCCCGAGACAATCAGACATTTCCTGGATCAACTTTATCTATAAATGTTAGTAACCAGTTATATTCTGTGTATCCAAGAAAGAATCCCGGCCTTTTTTAAAGCAATCCACTGAGCAGAACCAACACTTGAGGGAGTCTGTTCCACATTTTTACAGCTCTTACGGTGAAGAAACCTTTCCGTGTTTGGAGATTAAATATCTTCTCCTTCAGACGTAAAGAGTGCCCCCTTGTCCTCTGTGATGACCTCAAGGTGAATAGCTCTACACTGATTTCACTATATGAACCACTGATGTACTGTATTTTGTGCTCCATAAGACGTATTTTTCCCCCCCAAAAATGGGGGAAGATGTCTTAGGGAGCGAATATGGAGCGGCCAGCCCGGTATTCTGGCCGCTGCCGCCACCGCCATGTTAGAATACTAGGCCAGCCGCTCGGCTCTACAGTGCCGAGGAACCTGCTCCTCGGTCCAGCGAGGTCCTGCTTTCACTGGCTGTCTTCTCTCCCCGGTGTCGGCTCCTATAGTGTGGGCACCCGGCTGTGACAGCTTGCGGCTTCACAGCCGAGTGTCCACTGTGCATGCGCAAGAAGTGCTGCGCTTTGTGAATGACCACCTGTAGTCTTCTGGGACCTGTCACGTGTCCCACAAGACTACGGGGAGTACAACTCCATGGAAGTAGGAGCTGGTACCTGTCAAATTCTGGTACCTGCCCCCCTGCTCCCCAAAGGTCTGCAATCTCTGGTCATCTCCTGTAGTATGTCCACAGTCTCTGGTCATCTCCTGTACTATGTCTGCAGTCTCTGGTCATCTCCTGTAGTATGTCCGCAGACACTGGTCATCTCCTGTACTATGTCCTCAGTCTCTGGTCATCTCCTCTAGTATGGCCGCAGTCTCTGGTCATCTCCTGTAGTATGTCCGCAGTCTCTGGTCATCTCCTTTAGTATGCCCGCAGTCTCTGGTCATCTCCTGTACTATGTCTGCAGTCTCTGGTCATTTAGTGTACTATGTCTGCAGTCCATTGGGTCAGAATATTTTTTTTCTTGTTTTCCTCCTCTAAAATCTAGGTGCGTCTTATGGTCAGATGCATCTTATGGAGTGAAAAATACGGTATTTATACATGTTGATCACATCCCCCCTTAATCTCCTCTTCTCAAAAGAGAATAAATTCAGTTCCTCTAATCTTTCCTCATAGCTGAGCTCCTCCATGGCTCTTATCAGTTTGGTTGCCCTTCTCTGTACTTTCTCCAGTTCCTCAATGTTATACAACATTAGAAATTAATATAGTGAATGCAGGGTTTAGTAACACTTTAAGGCAGCCATATATGGCCAGTTTATCAGGGACCAGACAAATTTCAATCTGTGTATGGAAAGGTTGATTGTAAAGATGATGATCTACTGATCAACTTCTGTACAACCACTCTGTTGGAAAATTTCCACTTAATCAGTGCCACTGGCAATATCCACGAGTGCTGATCATTGTAATATGACAGCGGGGAATTTTTCCCACTGTCGGAATACAAAAGCTCAGTGGGTAGAATTCCCCCATCCACATCAAATGTGTGGATAGCAGAATCAAGTCATTTTTTTTTTCAACCAAACATAATCTGTGGGCTGCCTTACAGTGTTAAGTATCTCCGTTGTCTTTCTATGGAATCCTACTGGTCAGGAGTTTAGGTTAAGGGTTAGTTAGGCTGGCCATGGATGGGCAGGCATCTTTTCATTGTTACTAATAACATTTAAAGCTGAAAACCAATTAATGAAGTTAAGCATTCCTATTCCTATTTAGTTTAGTGTTGCAGGATCATCTTCTCATGAAACCTGGGCCACTCAACATTCCATGGGATCTCACCAAAAGGATGATGAAGCCACCGTTGCCTAGGCACCACCCAGAGTTTTTTTTATTTTAGGAGAAAAACAAAACACCATACCCACCTAGATTGCTGCAGCACCACCCACAGCTGCATCTGCCCCCCTCCCAACTGGCTCTATCCCAAGAACTGAGCAATCAAAGATCACTGATCACTCAATTCTCAGTATTCAGTCTTCAGAGAGCCAGTGACTGCCAGTATCCATCTCTGCTCTGTCTCTCTAGTGCTCAATAGAGCATCGGGATGTTGTGGGGTTGGGAGTGGCTGGCTCAGGCTCTCAGCGGCTTTCTGAGAGGCTGAGCCAGCTGCCGATCAGGAATATGGGAGGATCCCGACTTTAAAGTCGGGATCTCTCCAGAGCCTGGACTGGCTGAATGACGTCAACCATCAGGGTATTTTAGTCCGCTGTCTGCTAAAAATGGGTCACAGGAGTGCACTTCATTCTCCTAAAGGAGTGCATTTAGTTCTCCTAAAGAGAAGTATAGCCAAAATAGCTTTGGCCATACTTCTCCTTTTTAATGTAATGCAGTATTTTGGCAAGATGGGAGGCCCACACTAAATGAGCTAACCTTAATATTTTAGGTGCAAGGTATGCTTACGTCATGAGATTTATTTTAAGTGCAGCTTAGAACTATGGTGTCGCACATGAATCATTTCAGAAGGATTAACATTACACATTTTTTTACATAATTCTTATATGGTAAATTTGTTAATATTTCATAAATATTCACTTTGTAGTCTTAAAACAAGTGATACCTCTTGGTGGTTTGCAGTGGGATGATAATTTAGTATATAAAAACATTTATATGTGTGTGTATATTATATATATATATATATATATATATATATATATCATGCTTCAGGCAATTATAATATTGTTCAGAGTGAAGCTGTTTGAGATATATATTCAGAAACAATAGAGGATGAGATTTGTAGGAGGTTGTTTTCTACAGAGGGAGAGGCAGGGGAAGTATGAATTAGACAAATGGATATGTTAGCAGAAGAGTACAGGGAGTTTTGATTTTTAATACAAATGCTCAAACGGTGTTTCCTAATGCTGTAGCAGTTGACTATTTTCTTTGAGCTTTATGTCTTTTATATGTTGTTGTGACTGTGAAAAATATATGTGACTTCCAATGTTAAATGAATGGACATTGAGATCCTCATGTCATCATCTCATTAGCAATGTGTGTAATTGTCTCATGGGCTTCTAAACCCTCTTATTTGTCATAGAAACACGTTTTCTTCAGCTTATTAGTATGATATTATTATTGTGAATAATCTCTAAAGGTAAATGTGGTATAAAGGATGGAAATAATGGTATCATTAAAATTGACCTGTCACAAACATGCACAAATCAAAATGAGCCCAGGAAGAAAACAGAGGGAAAATGCAAAGGGAAAAATTCAAAATAGGCGGATGTAATTACATGTAAGTCTTGACTAAAGCAACCATGCATGGATCAAAATCCGTCTGGTTCAGCAGAGACCGACTGAATTAAGAACCATGAATGGGCAGGGGAATTGTACCCAAGTCGATCCATCAGTCGACTTGGGTACAACCAGCCTGCCAGTTTTTTTTTCTGCATGCAATTACTGCCAGCTGCTATAGTCACTAGCAGGAATCATTGTATTCTGCTGGCTGGGCAGGCTCCTCATGCCCCCTCCCCTTTCCCTGGCAGCAGAATACAAAAGCACTGTAGGAGAGATTCTCCCATCAACACCCGTGGTGGAAGGAAAGAAAATTGCCTCATTTTTGGGCTGCTTTACTTTGAGGCCTCATGCACACTGGGTGGTTTTGACGCCATTGATAGGGGCGCCAGATTTTTTTTTTTTACTGCTTCTAAACTCTCCTGCACCAGATGTGTATATGTACTTCAGCGCTAGATGTGTATAGCGCTTGAGCATTCATTTATTTCAATGACCAGAATAAATTATTTACTTGGTCAATGAAATGAATTAACGCCCACGTGCTTGACACCTGTAAATGCGCCTAAACGCTTGTAAAAGTGTAAAGACACTTTTACAAGCGTCAGTTCTTTTTTTTTCCTGCAAATACTCTGCTAGCTGTTAGGAGAGTTAAAAACAAAGTTCTGTGTGTATGAGGTCTAAAAGTCATACTCATTCCTGTCTACTTATGGTTACCTATGAAACCAAGCTTTAGAGGCAAAATCAGGATTGACGTTTGCTGCAAAGTCCAAGTAAGCACTTCAGCTGCTCCTTGGATCTTGGATGCGATTTTTCACAGAAGGTAACCTCAGCTTATGCATTTTTTTCAGTAGTGAGATTTAGATTCCCAGGTCTGTAATAGATTTACTTTGTATGCGGCAACGTCAGTGCTGCTTTACAGTTAATTTCTTTGGCATTGTTAGGGTGAATATGTTACTGATACATTTCAACAGGTATTTACTATTTTACGCAAAATTTCAGTTAGGTGGACCTTATATATGGGGGAATGCCAACTCTTGTATTAATGGTGCCGATGACAAACCAGCATCAATGCAAAAAATATTAGCACTCCAGGAATGGAGTTGAAAGTGAGACTTAGGCTGGCCATACATTATACAATTATCTTCCAATTTTCTGCCCAATTTCCTTTAGATTTACCTTCAACTGTGTAGTGCAAGGGCCTGCCTAATTGGATACAACTGAAAGTGTTGTTTAGGTTTGTCCTCCTATTATATGGTTTTGGTAAATCTAAACCACAAATCTCCAGATAATTGTATAATGTATGGCCAGCCTTAGCTTTGCATCTTAATAAAGAGGTCCTTTACATGAAGGTGTCATGCTACACTTAATGAATCCTCATATTCTGCTTTATACCTGGTGTGCTGGCAGTTTCTAGAATTAACCTGTTGTAGACAAGTACAAAGATAAAAAAAACAAAAGAAAAAAAATCAACATTTCAGGAGTACATTTATAACTAGAGTTTAGTAAATTGACAATAGCACAAAAGCTAGCCAGTGGGACAATTAGTACTTGGCCATGTTATATCCCAAGGTTATTCACAGTCATCCTTATTGACGTGGAATTGGAAACAATTCATCAGTTGGCCTAATGATTTGTTAATATACTGCTGCACTACATGGTTATGATAGAGTAATGTCAAAATAAAATGTTTTATTTTAAATCAAACTGGAGTCTAGGTATGAATTCTATGCAGTATAAGTCAGCAATCCCCAGTTTGCTCACCCAGAGCAGAAGTGGGAGAAGCGTTTTTTCATTGCAGGGGGAGAACAATGATGATTGAAAGGAGACAAGCAAGTGTTAGTGGCTTCATAAATTTATCCAGCTTGGGCTAGAAAAGAGATTACAAGGTTTGGAGCTAATTGGAGGTGTGATGGTGAATGCATTGGGGCTGATCTGAGGTGTTAAGGTGAATGCTAATAGTAACCTTTGTCCTCCACCAGTGCTCCTGTAATATCCAGCATCACAATCTTTTCCCATCTGTTCTCCTCTGTGCACTGATGCCTCCCCCCAGTGCTTTTGAACCCTGTTCTAACCTTCACCACACTGTCTTCTTTTCATCTCATGCAGCCTTAAGGCCTATTGTTGCTTATTTTCTTTGCTCTGCTTTCTGCTTCACTGCCTTCCACTTTTCATTTCCTTTGGAAGGCTTTTCTCCTGTCATACCTCTTCACCCACTGTCCTATGATCTTGATCTTTACCTGTCCTGATTTTCTGAAGTCATGCTCACCTTTGGCCAGATATCTTCAATATCTTTTTGTCTGCTCTCCTTTAACCTTCACTGTCTTATTGGTCTTTTTTTTTTCATTGCTTTGTAAACCAAGAGTCTCAATTACTTCTTTCTAAATCCATTAGTCAAGATTCCCCAACTTCATGAATTCCTCTGTGTCACCTTCCATGCTGGGATTGAAAATTAATTCAAGATAAAAACGTCTTTAGTTTACCATTCATCTATTCAGTAGCTGGTAATACATTTAGTAAAAATTCATAAAGGATGATGTAGAACAGTGTTTCTTGACTTTTTCAGTCAAGGCACCCTTTAAAATTATGGACAGTCCCGAGGCACACTTTAAAATTATTGACAGTCTTGAGGCACCCCATTCCAAAATGTGAAAAACTATTCTAATAGTTTTGTATAACTCAGCAACATCCACGCATATAGGACATCCAACATTAGAGGTGATTTATTCTT